TGCTAAGACCCAGTTAGTGACAGTACATACCTTGATGACAGTGTTTAGTGTTTCAAGCCCCTGTGCTGTAAACATCATCATCAAATATCGCAAGACATCAATAAGCTGCCGAGGACGTTGCCCTATGTGACATCACCCGCTGCACACGACCCCGAGGCCTTGAACTTGCGACTAACGCTTAAAACAGATGGCCTCTGTCATCACGTTGTATCGCGAAAATAACATTCTTTTTATTGGCAACGCTGGGTCTGTGTTTGTTTAAAAAATGCGAATACCAACTGCCTCGGCCCGACTATGCCTATCGTGTGGCTCTGATCAGCCGTAGCGCCAGAACACGAACACAACAAAATATCAATTATTTGGATGCAACGTACAAATTTATGCTAGGTTATATCAGTTTGAGAAGTGAGACATTGTATTGAAAGACGGATAACGAGCAAATCCCTGTATTCATATCCATGACGGGTTGAATGGCCAAACGCGTCACTGGCGAAAGAAAAATATGTTGAAACTCCTTCAAACAGGAAAATGTTTGTTTGCACCCAAAATACACAAACCGTGGCTTCAAACGCGCATTAGGAGATATTTGAGGAGATGAATTGCAACATTTCTAAGATGGCCCTTTGCATAAATAATCCTTTAAACAAGCAATGTGAGACTCTGATGTTCTCGTAGAGGTCAAGGAATTTGTGATGGTCAACAGCACAAACTGATAGTTTGTTTTTTTGGTATCTTGCTGGACAGTGCTTGACCGTTCGGTTGGAATCTTTGGACGCGACCGGACGTACATTTTGGTGAACAGACAAAAGGACATCTAGAGATCTTGTGATAAACGGTGGCATGGATGACCCTGTAGCCTCAGTCGGTAGACTTCGCTGTGCAGAGTTACGTCCCTTACGCGTGATAGGAACCTATGATAAAGACTTCGAATCCCAGACGCATGTTACAAGATTTGACAGAACCTTACTTTTTGGCTTCAACAAGAGTGTAAACGTGGATGGTTTTGCATACGGAACCGACAAGCCATGACACAATTAAAATACTTTTTAAAACGGCTTAACACAAAGTACCTCGCATGTTAAACACTTCAATGTCATTGATTTGGAGTGATGCGAAAATTTTGTAGAGGTATATTTTGTAAATTGCATAAGGGTGAGTGGCGAGGCGCACGTATCACGTATTTCATCTACCCTATGCATGTGGTTTGTGTGGTGGTCGAGTGGATAGTACACTCCCCCATCACGTCAAATTTCGGTGTTCGCTCCCCTGAGAGTTGAGAGTTGGCATTTTTAATACCTTCACTATTGTATTTGAGTGAGTGAGTGAGTATGGTTTTACGCCGCTTTTAGCAATATTCCAGCAATATCACGGCGGGGGACACCAGAAATGGGCTTCACACATTGCACCCATGTGGGGAATCGAACCCGGGTCTTCAGCATGAAGAGCGGACGCTTTAACCATTAGGCTACCCTACCGCCCCTTTTGTATTTGAACGAATGTCGTGTTCTAATAGAATTCTGCTTTCTTAACCCTGGACCCTTTCCAAAAATCTGTTTTGGCGCTAATCCTCACCAGGTTTATTATTCGTATGCACCCCTCGTCCTGAATTTAGGGGCGGTGGAGTTGTCTTATGGTTAACGAGTCACGCGGAACACCGGGTTCGATTTCCACATGGGTACACGGGTTGATGGAGGGAGGGATTGAACCAACAGTGGTGAAGTAACATACCAAAACCATGTTGGTAATCGAACTATGTCGTCGTCATGACGAGCGAACGCTTTAATCACTGGGTGACGCCTCCTCCCCTTGATATTACTGGAGCGATGGGGTGGCCCAGTGGTTAAAGCGTTCGCTCGTCACGCCAAAAGACCCGGTGTCCTCTGCCGTGATAGTGCTGGAATATTGCTAAATGCAGCAAAAAACCAACTCACTCACTCTTTTACTCTATGCTACTTTTAATCAGTACCAGACGCTCAGACCCGTGAAGATCCGGGGTAGAATAGGTCTTCAGCAACCCATGTTTGCCAGAAAAGGCGACTATGCTTGTCGTAAGAGGCGACTAACGGGATCGGGTGGTCAGGCTCGCTGACTTGGGTGACACATGTCATAGGTTCCCAATTGCGCAGATCGATGCTCATGCTGTTGATCATTGCATTGTCTGGTCGAGACTCGATTATTTACAGACCGCCGCCATATAGCTGGAATATTGCTGAGTGCGGCGTAAAACTAAACTCACTCACTCACTCACCAGACACTCAGTTACAACTGAATATTCCTACAGCAGTGCTGTTAATAGACCTGGTGTCTGTGTCAGTCTGACGAACGTCAGTTTTCAACATGAAGGATATAATAACCGCAGCAATCACTCGCCAACAAGCAGATCAAACCTCGTTGTTCGTCCACTCAGACGAATCTCACGGCAGGCCTCAGCTAGTCTGGCTGTAGACGTAATGTGACGCCCGACCCCATGCTACTTACCGTCCAGCTATGACCAGATAGCTAATCCTGGACGTTCTTGGTCAGTCTGTTTAGCCTCTCCCTAGCAGAAAATCGATAATGAGGTTCCATGTAAGTTTACTAATGTAATGAAAATGTCAGCGTATTAAGGGTCGGAGGTCGGGTTGGACGTCTGTGAAAGTGAGTGATTTGATAAGCATTCGGAGATGCTTTCTGTGGCTGCACATATTACTGAAGACGTAAGGCGACTATATGCTTGTAACAGGCGACTAACGGGATCGGGTGGTCAGGCTCGATGACTTGGTTGACACATGTCATCGGTTCCCAATTGCGCAGATCGATGCTCATGCTGTTGACCAGTGGATTGTCTGGTCCAGACTCGATAATATACAGACCGCCGCCATATAGCTGGAATATTGCTGAGTGCGGCGTAAAAATAAACTCACTCACTAAAGCCGTTTTGGAGGTGAAGAGATCCGGTCACGGTTGTCGTGAATACCGCTGTCACTTGTGGTGTCCACGACACCACGTTAGAGACAAATGCTAGTGTTACCCATGTCTGGACACCCATGAGGGTTAGAATTGTTTTAAGCAACCCATGTTTGTCGTAAAAGGCTATCGGGATCGGATGGTCAGGCTCGCTGACTTGGTTGACACATGCCATCGTATCTCAATTGCGTAAATCGATGCTCATGATGTTGATCACTTGATTGTCTGGTCCAGACTGAATTATTTACAAACCGCCTCCATATAACTGGAATATTGCTGAGTGCAGTGTTAAACAACAAACAAAAAGCACTTCGCTTTTTCTAACCTTTTTACAAACAAGTTGCAGCTATTTTAAGACTTAACTTGTCTTTTTTTTAACTTTAAGGTAATATTTGCCGACTTAAATGCTAAAGAGCTGCCAGCATAGCGGGCTCAGAATTCAAAGAAAAAAACAACATCGAACAATTTCAGAAAATCCTGTCCTTAATACAAATATTGGACACGAAAACCAAAGTCAAGTCTGAGGGAGGTTATGAAATTCTCCAGGTGCCTGTTAAGGCGAAAGTTGGCTCCAGGTAATACGCTGTCAGGGGGTCACAATCCCCTGATAATCGCCCTTACCAACTGGGAGGGTGGGAATTTGTGATTATACTAAACACAGACCTCCAGCAACGTGATTAGATTATTTGTGAGTGAGTGAGTTTGGTTGGTCAGTTTAGTTGCTAGTTTAGATAGATTAGGTTTACGCTGCATTTAGCAATATTCCAGCAATATTACAGCAATATAACGGCGGGGAAACAGAAATGAGCTTCACACATTGTACCCATGTGGGGAATCGAACCCGGGTCTTCGCCGTGATGAGCGGACGCTTCAACCACTGGGCTACTCCACCGCCCCTCAAACATCAGGAACTGAATTTCGTAATGCACACTGCCAAAGCATAAATGTCTCATGTTCAAATAACATGAAAAACGCACCAGACATAAAAAAATGGATGAGGTAGTAATTTCGATAAAACAGGACAGTAATGTCGTCGTCCTCACGAAATTGAATAAAAAGGCAGCATGTTCTATCAGTTTAGTGATTGTAAAGGTGAAGGACTTTGGAATCGTATACCATGCATGGATTTTGCAGTCATAAACTTTCCTGTTGAGGAAGAACAGGAGCGTTCTTGACAGGTCTCGAGCAGGAAATTCTATGTAAGGCCAGACCAATTATATTTCTTGTTTTACGGACTTTTGTCCTCAGAAAACCTAAAGGCAGGAGGGAAAAGAAATAAAAATAAAATCACCAGTCAAAGTAATATTCCTTCTAAATAAGTTTACATTTTTGGCCAATAAAAACATTAGGATTTTATGTTTTAAGCTGGAAATTTATAAAAAAAAATCTTATTCTTGAAAAAATATGACAGGCGGATCCGTAAAACAAGAAATAATATTGGTCTGGCCTAATAATTTTTAAAACAAGAGTCACATCAACGTTGTTGACTTTGGATAGGTGCACTGTGCAGTAGGGCTGTGTATTGGCAAATATATTGTATTGCGATTCAGGTACCGTGTATTGCGATACTTATTGCGAATCATGAATTTGGACATTGTGGGAATTGTGTTTGACAGTGAGTGGCACTAATTGTACATGTCAATCCTATTTTCTACATTATATGTCCCTAAACATATGTGTTATGGTTCTGATAACCGCAATCTCAAAATTAGGTTGCATAATCAAGGATTCTGTTTTCTTTTTTAGACAATGTATAGTATTACAGTATGCCGTTTTGTCATTGAATAACGAAGGAAAACCTTTGTTGTGTATGGAAGTATGTGTAGATTTTAATTTAAACCATGATACTTCATTTTGTTCTGAATAAATTATATGGTAGCTTCCCTGAGGGCTGATTATTGACAGAAATGCCTTATTGTTTTTTAGAGAAGTGTGGTGTGACATTGTTCCTTTAACTATCTTCAACAACATATAACATTAGATTATATCACGGTTGACATAAGGTTTATTATCAAAATGAGAATTTTAGCGACAAAACAACACTGTCCCTCAGAACCAGTTTATTATGGCGTTCACTTCACGAAGCAGCGCCGCAATGCATCTCATCGGTACTGGTCAAAGCTGATATGGTTGACGTGGGTGCCGTTTCTGGTTCAGTAGATTTCCTCTGAAAGACGCCATCAACTCGGGCTTCCATCTCTGCCGAGGTCCTCTACAATGAAGGAATAAATTTCTTAAGTTTCTTTGTTTTTGCATCCGAGTAATGAGTGAGTGAGTATGATTTACGCCGCTTTAAGCAATATTCAAGCAACATCACGGCGGGGGACACCAGAAATAGGCTTCACACATTGTACCCATGTGGGGAATCGAACCCGGGTCTTCGGCGTGACGAGCGAACGCTTTAACCACTAGGCTACCCCACTGCCCCTCCGAGTAATGAACGATGCTCAGCTGTATTTGATCAATTAAAAAATGAATAATGTCATAAAAAGTATCAACATTAGAAAAATGGCAAGATTGCTACTTTTCCTCCTTCTGATAAGTAACACATAAATAACTTTTCACCCTCTTAGAAAACATCTATCGATCACCGGGCGGTGGGGTAGAATTAGGGGTGGGTATTGCAGAGAATTTTCATATTGCAATATATTGAGATGCGAAAACATATATTGCAAGAAGATTTTTTAAACAAAAAACCTACTTATAATTGAGATATTGCTTGATTTATAAAGCAAAACACAACAAAATCACCATGCTTGATTAAGCTTTAATAAAAACTTTCAATCATGACAATATAAAAATGTAAATAATATTTTGAAACAAATGAAACAAGGAAAACAACAATTTAACATCACCTAAGTGGTTACTGGTTTGAAATCTCTCAAAAAGCCACTGAGCATTAATGAGTAAATTCTTAAATCATTCAGATCCAAAACATTGCGCAACACTTGAACAAAAATTAAGAACACAACTTCAAACCGAACTAAACTTGACTTCCGGTGTGAAAAACGGAAATATCCGAAGATTTCCGAGTGTTACGAAGTTTTCCGAAAGCACGTCAAAATACCGGTTTTCGATCAGCATATCGCAATACGTTATCGTTTTCATGTCTGAACCGGTAAATACCGGTAAACCGGTTATATTCCGCAGCCCTAGGTAGCATAGTTGTTAAAACGTTCCGATAAACTCAATGCCACCACTTGTATTTTTCAGGTATCACATGAATACGAAATTAGGTCTTTTTGCAATGTTACCCCCCAAAACGACTTTTTAGGTAACTTGAGGGCATTTAAAATTATTTTCAAATCTAACAAATTACCATTAACTGGCTAACGATGGACTTTTGTTTCTGTTTGTTGTTTAAAGCCGCACTCAGCCATGTTACAGCTATATCGGAATGGACTTTTGACATGGTGGGGTAGTCAAGTGGCTAAAAGCGTCCCCTGGTCCTCGGGTAGATTCCCAGATGGGTACAATGTGTGAAGCCCATTTCGTGTGTACCCCGCCGTGATATTGCTGGAATACTGCTTAAAGCGGCGTAAAACCATAAAAATAAACGCACCCACTCACTTTTGTCAAATCCGCGAAGTATTTTACGGACAAGCAAATAACATAAACAAGTGCAGCCAGCCATACCTTGAGGCTTCGGATTGCCAGAGACGCGTGTCCTGTCTTCTCAGTTGTCAGCTGTTCCTCAAGGCCAGAGTCGTGATCGTACAGATGTGCTGCAGTAGTTGCGGTAGTTGCCCTCAGCGAGTGATTGGAATAAAACCCACTAAATCCTGCCATTTTACACAGTCGTCTGACAGTGCCTCTTAGAGGGTGCATCCCAACTGGAATGTCGGCATACCATGTATCGTCTCTGATAAATTTCAGGGGCCTCAAGTAAAATGCGGTGCATTTTCCGTCTTTAGGTCTGAAATAACATGAAATCAATGTAATCACTATAAACATTGTTTTCAATGTCTCAAACATGATAGAGTTAAAGTGAATAATGACATTTTCTCTTGCACCGGGTTGTGCACTTTATTTTGTTTATGCCTTAATGACGTCACAAGAGTATGACGTCATAGTTAAATATTGTTCGATTTATTTCGATTCTTGGTTACTTGGAATATGTAGTTCTTTTCAGTAATGTATTAACACCACTGGAATCAAATATATTTGGTTGTTTGGAGATGAGCGGCAATGCCACTTTCAGCAATATTCAGCTGTAACGCGGCAGCCTTTATCAACCAATGTTGTGAGTGAGTTGTGTTTCACGCCGCTCAGCGCAATATTTCAGTAATATCTCTGCGGCATACACCAGAAATGGGCTTCTCACATTGTACCCTTGTGAGCAACTGAACCCGGGTCTTCGACGCGCGGACGCTTTAAGCACTGGCTTCAAGAGCACCTGGCACACGTCTCCCCCTCTCTATCTCCCCAACCAACACCCTCTCCCCTCCCAACCCCGTCACACCGACACGCACTCACACGCACACACGCGCGCTTTAAAGTCTGCCAAGGTATACCGAGGCCTGTTCTACCAAGAAAATCACAGGAACAAATTCAACTGCGTGACTTCAGAAGGTAAATTGTTACTTCGCCTTAACTAAAGATCACAATACAAATAAACAGACCTCGAAAAAGACTCTCACATGTCACTTCATTAAAATAATTAAAGATATATTTTATTGACAAATTGATCGATAACTTACCTGAGTGACATGTACTTTTGATAAAGCCGGACCAGGCACCTCTCTGGACGCTCAAAATCCTGGGAAATGATGACGCATTTTCTTTCACACTTTCGATGCATTAAGCGACCTCTGTATGTTTTCAATACATCTTCTTTGTATTTCAGACGTTTACACCCATCGTCACCTACTATTATTTCGAACTGTGAATTTGAACCCGTTCTGAGGGACTTGTGCTCATCACCTGCTCTCAAAGCACAATTAAGGCCAATTAAATACACCATTGTATCTAATAAACGTTGTGGGTTACGTTCATCCAGGATTTCCTTCTCCCACAACACGTCTTCCTGGACTACACTAATCACTTGAGCCTGCCTTTTCTCCGTCCCAATTCCCTGTGCCGCCAGCGATTTCATTCTTGCATCTAACACGGACCTTAATCCATGAAAGACAGGAGACTCGAAGAAATTTAACTGAGTGCCATTTCTTCTGATGTAATACTGAAGGGAAGAGATAATTTCATACAGTGTGTTTCCTCTGTAATCCTCGCCCTTCTTATTTCTGACCTCCGTTATGAAAAACATCAAGTTCTTATTCAGCTCCCTTTCTTTATGAGCCAAGGAAACGATGTCAGGGTTCAGTTCCATGTCCTCTGTTCTGCCCCTCTTACGCAGGTCTTTCACCCAGTCTTGATACAAACCAAGTGCCCACTTACACTTGTTTTCAGTGTTCGATAAATATGCTGATTTACAGAACTTCTTAAGGCCCAGATCTGATACTGGCTGGCCAAACCTTGCTGAACTTGAATCTACACTTTGTTCAGACGCGACGACTCTTTGAAGTATTCTTGATGACGTTACGTGCGAACACGGGTTACAAGGTAGAAAATTTACAAGGTTAGATTCAATGTTTTGGCTCGCTTTGTACAGATCAGAATCAGAACCTGAGGAAACATGTTCGAAATCAATGAACTCACATTGACCCACATTAGAGTTTGGAAGTGTATTTAAGTCAGAATTTAACAAAGTTTCAAAATCAGAATTAATGTCCACCTCAAAAGTGTTCGTGAAACAAGGCTGTGTAACAAACACATCGTCGTCGGTATCATACGCACTCATACTGGCGACCCTGCCGAGTCCAAAAACGATCACTGAAACATGTCATGATGCATGTGAAGATATACCCACAGCCCTCCCTAAGTTTACCACGTTTACTGGTGTTTTGACTGCAAGAATGGCCTTGGCTTTGTAGTACAACCTTCTATTAATCTTCCACATGAACATTACTTGAACATTAGTTTGAGGTATACACTTGATCGAACTTTGTTTCAAGTAGGAGAAAGTTTCCACTTGTACGATATGTGTCTAACACATAATAAGTCCCATCCCAGGAACCCGTGCATCGTTGTGATTGATACAGAAGACGCCCTATCAAGAAAGTTTGTTCTTTGTGTACATCATTGTCCGCAATAGTGTATTTTGGATATTTTCGGGTGACAGATGAAAAATAGTTTCCGTGAACAGACAAGATTATTAGATGGTTAATCGTAATGCAATACACGTATCGTGTTGACTCCCTCTGTCCTTGGTTCGAGCAGGATGTTCGTGTACGGTGACATGACATTATTTGGCGTTACGGTGTAATTTTATAATGGCGATGAATGCATCCAGTAGGCTGAATGTGCGCCATTTTCTCAAACAAAATTATGCAGCATATGTCAAATGTGAATAATTGTTATATTGTTCCATTTTCTGACCGACATAGTTTCTTTTTGGAGGAAAGATTCAATCTAAGAGCGGGCAATAAAACGCCTTTCCTTTCCTTTCCGTTTCCTCAGGTTTCCAACAATGTACAACATGCATAGATATGACAAAGTAGAAGGTTTCCAAAATGCAATGGCGCGTGCGACTTCCACCGGAGGCTGGGTGGAACAAATTTCTTCCACCGGGACCTACGTGGAAGAAAAACGCTCAGCTTAAAATCACAGAAACCATAATTGCTCGGCTATAAATTTGCATAAAAACAAACGGAAACATTCTCCGTGTAGCTCCAGCTGGATCCAGCTATCCAAGGACACGCAGTATGCGCGTGTAAGGCGATTTATGCAGCTTTATGCAGCCGTGATGAAATAGGTGATACATTCTGGGAGGAATGAATATGCTTGACAGAACTAAAAAGTAGAATAGTTTGGATTCTAACCATCACAGCAATACCTGTAGTGTTAATATTCATATTTTAGTGCATCGAAAAGCCCTTTAAAATGCGCTTCTAACGACGTATAACACGTACATGTGCAATATCTTGCACAGGTGCTACACACATCTGAAAATGCCGCTCCTGTGTCCGATGCCTCCGCCATCAGCGGATGTTCAGTTCCACTATAATTCTGTACCCGTAGTTAGTTCGATCCTATATTCTATAATTCATTTGAAAGCCCTCTAAAGTGCGCTTCTACCGACGTATGACACGTACATGTGCAATATTTGGCAAATGTGCTACACACATCTGAAAATGCCGCTCCTGTGTCCGATGCCTCCGCCATCAGCGGATGTTCAGTTCCACTATAATTTCTATACCCGTAGTTAGTTCGATCCTATATTCTATAATTTATTTGAAAGCCCTCTAAAGTGCGCTTCTACCGACGTATGACACGTACATGTGCAATATTTGGCAAATGTGCTACACACATCTGAAAATGCCGCTCCCGTGTCCAATGCCTCCGACATCAGCGGATGTAGTGTTTGGCTATAATTTCTATACCCGTCCTTCGATCCTTTATTTCTATAACTTATATGAAAGCCCTTTAAAGAGCCCTTCTAACAACGTATAACACGTATATGTAAAACGTGCATTTACCTTTATGACCCACCACTGCCGCTGTTACAGGTCATTGGCTCCCTCCCTCTGCAAGCCGTCTGCGTTCTGCTGTTTATTTTGTTGACAGTTACATAGACAGATTCCGTAATACAAATGCATAACATCGGTGATTTACAATGTGATTAGGTTGTCTGACAAAACATCCACTTGCACAGTTTGAGATCGATTGGGTCATTGTTTGAAGAGATATTTACAAAAAACCGGGTCCACATGCATTTCATGCCAAACTATAGGGGAAGGAGCCAGGTTGGCCACTAGCTCGAAAATATGTGCTTTTGTTCCCCGGGCACGACGATGTGAAATTTGCGACGCTGCCCTCTACGTCTGCCCACGGAGGTCGGAAAGATGGTAGTGCATAGAGGGATAATTCCGGCCTCCACCATAATCAAGCACTTGGTTCACTTGGTGCTTAGCTTGTCTAACGGCGCGCGACGTTGCTCATGCTATTCATCATTCGTTCTCCCGAAGATGCTCGATGTACAGACAGCCATGGTGTAGCAGAACTGAAACAGATTGAGTCTTTACAGGTGGCTCAAAGGCGACTTTGCTGGAAGCAAGCACAAATGTTTGTGTTGCATAGGGGTGAAAGGGCGACCCTTAGCGGAAAGGCGATGGTGGTGAAACGATGGCTGGCGCAGGCAAACCAGTTCGAGTTTTGGCAGTGGCTCAGAGGCGACTTGGCAGTAAGCACGCGCAAACGGTGGTGATTTTCAGGACGAAATGCTGGTGTGGCAGGGGTGAAGGGCCGACCCTAGAGGAGAGGCGATGGTGGCGAAATGGCGACTGGCACAGGCAAACCAGCTCGAGTCTTGGCAATGGCTCAGAGACGACTTGGCGGTAACTGTACATGATTTGCCGTATCAAATCTTTGCAATTCCCTAAGGTGTGGCATATGGGAAAGGAGAGGTCTATTGCTGTAGTGTCTGAGGCACCCAGTTGATGGGTAGACGCGAGGGCATGACATGCCAGACGGACATTGACGTTTTCTGACGTTTGTTATGCATGTTGATGTAAAGTGTAGTATGTGTTGTTCATCACGTGTGGCAGCTCCACTGCCATTATCAACAGTACCTGGAGACATCACAGAGATCTGATCTACCACGACGACCTTCTTACGTAGACTCAACTGCGCCTTCACAGCAATCAGAATTTGAAATCAAAGTAGTATCCTTCCAGGTTTCATGTTTCGTATTATTTACTTGTGCTGACATATTTGAATTATCTGTCCATTATGTAATTGTTTGGGTATTGAATTCGTGAGCTATGGTTATCCATGTGGGTATATGACTGTGTTGCACAAATGCTTCGTCCTTATCATGTTGGTCATACAAATGGGGAATGCAAAAATAAAAGTACAAGTTAACACCGTCTCTCTCTAGACTAAAGCAC